AAAAAAAAAAAAAAAAAGGTCAAAATAGGCGAGCCGAGCTGCTCGTTTTGGGCGAGCTAGGGCACAAGCCAAGCTCGTGAGAGTATGGGCCGAGCCGAGCCGGCTCGGCCCATTGACACCACTAGGTAAGGGTATTTATAATGTTACAAATGGAATGGTGACCATTGGATCAAATTACACGAGGCCTCATCTCGTCGACCGAAACATCAGATCCTAACCATCAAGTTGACCTTCATAGCCTTTCAAAGCATTTAATGCCTTATATTGACAAGAAAAGACATAAATACATTTTTTACAAAGACCACATCAATCATTTGAATAAAGATCTTCATCATGAGCAAATCCTTGCAAGTGGACCGTCACGAGCTGAGAGCTTCGGATCCAGGGGGTGCCTCAGAAGTAATTGGGCCTCGGCTGATAATAGGGCCTCGGTCTACATAGAAAGAGGCAAGGCGGCTGGGCTGGATTGGGTCCCACAGCTTAATTATGATGGCAACGTGGCAGTTCCTAGTAACGAGTCATAACTATAGTCCCCAAATCCATGTGTGATTTATTTATGTCATGCGTGAACTTCAGTAAGGTAGTTAAAAAGGTTTAAAAGTTGTAGTCCATCACTTTTTGAATTTGTTTCCTCTTAGTAGTAAAATTAGTTTGATCACAACATTATAACTAGAGAAAAGTTTACTGTATTTCAAAAATATGTTGTGTTTCGTATACTACAATTAGTACAATACAAGAAAACCACATCAAATCACACAATTCATGCTGCTAATAATTATTTTCAAATAAATCCTCTCTTCAACTCCATTTCCCCAACACCTCAATAAATATGAAGTCAAGGGGATAAGATCATAGCAGTCGAAAGTCTAATGGCCTGCTCTGTGCATATGGTATACACACAGAGCATTCTAATTATACCATTTTTGCAGAGGCTTGAGTGGTATAGGGGAGACAAGTTCTACTTTGATAAAGTCTGAAAGCAATCGTGATTGTAAGAACAACAAAGGATCGAAAACTTTCTCAGCCCTTGAGCTTGTTCTTCCCTTGACGCGACATCTTTCCTCTATCTAAGCCATTGCTTTGAACATCTACCAGTTCATTATCTTGCATTGCACTAACAAGAGGAGAGTCGTAGAGAGAGGTAGAATAAAGAGTAACAATGGCGCAAATTGATGGTATTGAAGTAATTAAGATTCTAGGCTTCTAGCTCCAACTTAAAAAATGTCTATATATTGTGAAATAGCAAGTTCAAAATTTGTTTCTTTCCTTGGCTACTGTAGATTGTGACTTGAAGACATCAAAGCTCCTCAATATGGTGGATTTTCACTCTTTAGGTTCACTAGGAATGCCCAAGTATCCAGACATTAGCATTTAATAGAAAAATTTCGGAGATATTAATCCTGATTTCGAAATGTGCATTTGACATGCGATCAAACTTGATAAAAACTTAAAAGGAAACTACCACCTTTCATCCCTGTTTAGTCAAATCTTTTTCAACTTATTTTCAATCGACTCACAACTTTTATCAACTTAACATCTTTTATCAAAATATATAAAAAATATAATTTTTAGCCAAACCATAGAGGCTTACATTAAACATTATACAATCTTTGGATGGTAAAATAATTTATTATTAAGAGAAATCCTAAAAATGGTGTTTATATCTTCATCCATTCTGGTAAGGGAAAAATTTACAACTCGGGCTTTATCTATCTCAAAATCAAAAATCAGGTCCCAAGGTTTAGAATTACAAAAATCAAGTTTTTCATAAATTAATTAATTATATTTCACAATTATTATATTAAATTAAATATTAAACTGTAATATAATATAATTAACCCATCCCACTGCCACCTCTGCTCCGACGACTACTCTGGTGACTTTTTCGAGGTTACAGATCAAAAAATTTGTAGNTTGAGGTCACAGATAAAAAATTTATAGATCACAGATTATTTCGAGGTCACAGATAAGTTTTTTTGTAGGTCACGTATTATTTCCAGGCCACAGATAAAAAATTTTGTAAGTCACAGATTATTTCGAGATCACAGATCAAAAATTTTATAGGTTACATATTATTTCGAGGTCACAGATCAAAAAATTATAGGTCACATATTATTTTTTTAGTTACAAATTATCAATTTTAAGCTAGGTCATAGATACCAAAAAAATCACAATCGCTAGGTCACAGACACCAAAAAGAATCACCATCGACGTTGACCCGTCACGGCAATAACAAAAAACGACAACTACCACACGAATCACCATCACCAATCTGCGACATTTTCCAAAACCAGACCCCATCTTCGCGACGGCTGCCACCAGATCCACCGCCCACGACAAACAGTGGGTCATATACATCGACACCACCTCCACCCCATTCATCGCCACTGGATAAGACTTTGTTTATCAATTGAAAAAGGCTCCTACACAGTCTTCAAAGCCGAATTCAACAATACCGTCGTCAAAATCAAACAACCACCTCCAATTGAAACCCCCTCATTCAAAGCACTGCCTGAATCAAACAACCACCTCAAATCGAAAACCCCTCATTCAGATCTGCACCATCGACACCACCTCCACCCCGTCGGCCTCCAAAGAGAGTTTAAGTGATTCATATGCTAAAACATAAGCTACTACAATAGCCAAACAAGACTCTAAAACAAACCAAAAAAGTAAAAACCAAACTTGCCCCAAAATATCACCATCACCAAAGCTACTACAATAGCCAAACAAGACTCTGAAACAGACCAAAAAAGTAAAATCCAAACTTGCCCTAAACCAACACCAACCAAAAACCTCAACCACGAATCCGACAGTGGGCATGAACGATAGACTACAAGAATCGAATCTGGAATGGGGACAATGACGCCGAAAGATTTCCAGCGATAAAATCCGACCGTTTGACCTGCACCTGGATAGAACTCGCTAAAAATTGAAACTCAACCATCCGCGCAAGCCGAAACACCCCCACACCCAAACAACCGGCAGGGAAGGAGGGGGGGTGGGGAGGAGGAGGAGGAAGAGGTAGGCGGCGGTGGTAGTGGGAGGATGAAGAGAACGACGTTGTGGAGAGAGGTGAGAGAATGGAGAGAAATGGATAGATTTAGGGTTTGGAATGATAAAAATGATAAAAATCTGAAAAGTGGAAAAATAAAGTGAAAACCTGATTTTTTAAAACGTGAAACTAAACACCTGGTTTATGGTAATTTCCCTTCTGGTAACTTGAAGCAAAATTTGTCCAAAGATGCTGCTAACTGCGAGGTGGATGGCTTGTTTCAAGCCCAAATTGAAATAAGCCATAAGCTGGGTCCGTGTGATTTAGCCATAATACAATTGGAGTTCAGCAACAGTCAAAAGCTTATACGCAAACCCATCAATCCAAACATGTGTGCTTATTGAACTTATAATAAGCACATGACATACCTTCATATAGGCATTTTTAGTAAGTACTTATGTTACAAGATAGCTACTTTTTCTTAAGCCCATCCAAACGTACTCTATAACTAGCTGCTCATTTCTTACTGATTAAGAACCCTACTGATAGAGATTTATGCAGTCACTGATAAGGACACAACTCCAAATTTCAACCTTTTTTTTTCACCACTCAATAATAATTACAATCTTCCAATTTCGCAATGTGGTGACGCCTTTTTATCAAGAAATCCATACTAAATAGTTGGGGTTTGAGAAGACGGTGCGCTAGACACAGTAAAACTCTCAGAACCTTGAATAAAACCACAAATCAAAGAGAGTAATTCCTATAAATATGTAGTAGAGTATGTTGAAAGTGTTTAAGAGTTCCCACAAATTATACAAGGAACTTAACAAGTATATCTTCTTATATAAGAATCGAGTTGACTACAAATTTTTCTCCTCCTCCACGAAATACATTGAAGGTTTCACATGTCAAAATTGAAAACAAAAGTAGCAAAGGAATGAGTTCAATCACACATGAATTGAAAACCTCGATCTCTTAATCTCTTGGAATGATAAAATTTAATAGGTTAGATTAGATGCAATGGATATTTACATGTCAGATGCAGATTTCAACTGTTGCTGCCCGTCTATCAAACTCAACTGCCTTCTGAGTCTCGCAATATGAGCTTGCACCTGCAGCACCAGTATACATATAAACTGCGAAGGAACAATTTTTTTAACTAGAGAAGTGGAACTAATTCATCTCAACCAAACATTTGATGTCTACTGTATCTCACTATGCATTAATAGAGCAAAAACACATCTGAAACCTTCAAGTCCCTTAATGCCTTTAAATTATTATCGACAAAATTTTAGTTAATAATAGTCTATTTGGTCTTGCATACAAACTGATCGCGTGGAATATAGTGGTTTTTCCTCATTAATTAGATATATTTGCATCAATAGAAAAGCATGCAATGTCCTCAGATCATGCTCAGTCATCTCATGATTTAGAAGTTCATTTAATAGTAATAAAGATAAACGTACAGGCACATCTTTTCCCCTCCTTCCCCGTGCGGATAACAAACTCAAGCATCTAAACACACGTTACGTGTGACCTAAATCATCTAATGGTACTAAATGAAACAGAAGATTTTATTCCATATTTAATAATCTAATCAAAACAAGCTATAACTGCAGTTCACAAGACAGGAGTAGCTGAGTAGGCATGGCTGAATGCAGAACATGCATCAACTTAACTGTTTATGTACCAGGGAAAACAATGCCAGATTGACAGGGGCTTACTTTCAAATCAGAGTACACTTTCTATGCACAAGAATGATATAACAATGCTGCTCTTAAACTAGCACGTATATTTTCAATGTCCCAGAATATATCAAATTCACAGGAGTTTCTCTAGTACATGTATTTTGTATCTAAAAAAATATCAAGCGCATTAAGTTCATCCAACTTAAGTAACAGTTTGAGTTAATCAGGCCTCGTTGGGAATCCAGCAAATGGTTTCCAAAAAAATTTTCTTGTTTAAATTGCATGAGCTGTCCCCAATGTTTGACCCCCTTTGCATTTCTATTCCCAACCTCATTTTCTTGGCACTCATCATCGTTATTTTAGGTACATTCCATCCCCTACTCACAGTTTGATCCAGCAAAACTGTCAAAATGGCATGAGAAGTTCACCCTCAACTTTACAAAAGTAAAAGAAAAAATAAGTATAGAAAAGATCAACTTCTTCCCCATGCCCCAATCCATGCAGCCTCAAATCTGCTCACTGGGTTACTTTTATGGTAGTGAATCAGGCAAGAGAAAGATGAAACAAGTTGCAGAACACCACCATCACAAATCAATCTCTTCAATTTTCAAGGAAATGGTCTTCAAAATTGGTGGTCACGAGTTCAAAAAATGTGCACCATTTAAATCCACATCTTTGCTAACTGGAGATGATAGTAATAGTACATTCTCTACGCAAATACCAAAGACCAGAGTGGAGGGTTGTTTGGCTGGGATTGTGTGGTTGAGGGAAAAGGATAAGCCTTTTCTATTTTTCTTTGGGTAAAATGAACAAACAATACCCAAATTTTGACAATTTTGCACTTCTATCCACAACCTCTTTGTCTTAGCATTTAGCTCCTTGATAGTCCATTTTAGGTGCATTTTCACCTCCGGTTTTCATCCCTATAAGTTAGCATGAAAACGAATTTACCTCTTTAACTGTAAATAAGCAAAAGATATATATAGTATTAAGAAAGGAAGAAAAAAACAAAAACAAGAAAACCCCCTCCCCATCCCCCAACAGCCACCGCCCTATAATCCCCAATTGGATCTTAGAAATTTGTGGAAAAAATTCTATTATCATTGTCATCTTCGCAAGCAAGGACAAGAAGAATTTGAATAGCACAATGTTGTTCAGTATTGTTCAACTTGTAATCCACCATTTTGAAGATCATTTCCTTGAAGAATAAAGAGATTGATTTGTGGGCATGCAGCTTCGTAGCTTCTTTCATCTTCCACTTGTGTGTATCCATAGCTGTCGCCACAAAAGTAACTTGTGCAAAGATTTGGGGTGGGGCTGCTTGTGAGGGCATGAGGAAGAAGATAGCCTCTTTTGTCTTTTCTTCTTTTTTTATATTAATTAATTTTTGCTTATTCAAAATTGTGGGTAAATTTGTCTTTTAATTCCAGGTTTATGGTTTTGTTGGACAAAACCCATGAATAGGATCTAGATGCACCTCAAATTGGAAGGTCAAGGAGCTAAAGGCCAACAAAAAAGGTTGGGGATAGATGTGCAAAATGGGTCAAATATAAGGGACCACAAGTGCAATACACCCTTATATTTTTCCCAACCAGATGAATCATAGGAGGAATTTAGCACAAATATTGGAGCATCATAAGGTAAAACTTCGATCCTTCTTCCATCTCATATATAAAGAGTAGATAATTTTAATAGAAGAGTAAATTCCTATTCATACTAACCTGCTGGCGTGCGGCTGCTAGTTTTAATAGTTCATCGGCCTCAGAGAAATTGGTGAACCACTGGTTTAGGGGATTATTTTTGGTGTCACCCCTCTTCCCACTTTCAATATCCTCCATTGGCACTATAGACAAGTAAATAAAATAATAGTATACAAACAATAGTGAATAGGTATCCTTTGATAACCAAAAAGATAAAGAAAACATACCAGGAGGCAAAGCAAAGCCACTGGGAAGTCTAGGCATAATAACGGTAGGATGATTCTGCACGCGTGCAAGGAAACCCTCTGAAGGCTCTGAAAACACAATTTCATCATAGGATTCCACAACAACAGGCTTCTTCATGGACATGGGACCAGACTCCTCCTCAGGGTATAACTTTAAATGGTGATATCTATAAGCGATTTCACACTTAATCATAACTTCTTATACAGAATATACTACAACATCAAGAAGACTATTTGATAGTGACTGCATTCATAATGAGAAAAGTCAAACCAATCCATAAGCTAGAAGAAAAGCAGCACAAAGAGAAAGAAAAAAAAAAATCATTCCGTAAACTCATAAATCTTCGACATAATAATGCTTGCTATTGGGGCCTAATAATCACATTCACATCATTCACGCCTCATGTGTCCAAAGATATATGATCTTATGCAAAGGTACATACATATGGATGTAATGATAAACCCACACAAGCATGTCAAAGAAAGCAGGCTCACAAGTGCAATGGCTTTTCGGAAATGTCACTGTGGAAATAAAGGGTAATGACGATTTCAAATTCACCCCATCCAGACTCCGATAATTCAAAAGGAGGACTTTCAACAACCCTCGTGGGATTGTTAAAACTTGAATGTAGTTGGAAAACAGCTCGTTTTATCACCACTCCCAGGTCCTCATTTGTAGAGCTACGCACATAAACTGTCCATTTATGAGACTGGTACCTAGTTAAAATCCAACCAACAAAAAAAATAAAAAAATAAAAATCAAACAAGCATTTTATCAAACAGTTAATTGATAATTACAGCTCCATCAACCTAAAAAAATAATATAACGAAGCAAACTTACTCGCTAGCTTTCTTGCCAAGCCAAAACGCAATGTTACCATACACAATTGGGACACAAATTTCTAAATCTTTAAGCTTCTTACCCGAACTCTACACATGATGAAACATATTTAACATAATTACCAAAATCATCATAAAACTTTTAGTAGGAAAGAAGTAGTTTTTCATTAATGGCCAAATTTATTTTCGTGATTACCGTAACGGGCGAGTAAATTTAAAGCTGGAAGTGCGGATTGCTACTACCTTTTTTTCATTATCGTCAGAAGATTTAACAATTTTGGTGCGCTGTGATTTCGGGGTGGACCCACCAATGTCCGTCTGATCTACTCCGTGTTTCTGATTCTGAGGCATTCTACAATCGCTCTTTCCAACTATAATTTGATTAAGATCCAATTGAAATTAGGGTTTTTTCAATCAAAAGGGTAAGAAATTAGGTTTTAATGGGATCTGGTGAGGGAAGGTCTATGTTTAGGTTTCCAAGGACCAATCGCTAGAATATACCTAGTTTCTTTTTAGTCCCTGTTTGGTATATATCAAAATCTAATCTAAGTCAAAATCAATAATAAGTTTGAACTCAATTATTTCATGAGATCCGTAACTTTTCAATCATATATTTTTATTAACTTTTAAACTTCACAATCTCATCATTTCACGTAAACTGTCACATCATCGATAATTTATCATCATGATTATAAATAACATTACTTTTTATCAAAAATTGTTAAAAATTTGATTTTAGTCTCTACCAAACAAGGACTTCAAATGATCGTATAATATACTAAACACTTGAATTTCTTCAATTTTATTTTTTTGAGTTTTTAGAAACTTGCATGTTTTAGTAAATTAACAAACGAATGATTATCTCGTATTATCTATAATATATTAAATATCATATCAAGTTAGAACCATTTTTTTTTTTGACGATTTTAACCCCATTACAATTCATTTATTTCAATAATACCTCACTTTTTATTTTTCAATATGTAATAAATACCACAAAATTGAATTAATTTTGACTTGATGAATCTCGATCTACATGAATTTAAAGTTATTATAAATGAATTTATTTCTATTCACATATCTAAGAATTTTAATTTGTGTTTAAATTCATGTATTAACGTTTAATTCATATGTATCAAATATAGTATAAAAAAGTTGCTCAATTGTAATATTTCATCATCACCATAAATTTGAATAATAGAAGTTGAGTTTTTGAGAGTACAATTATTTTCTCTTAATTTCTATCCTAAATTTTTTTTTAAATTCGTTTGAGACTCATCAAATCCTCCCAATAATTTGGGATCAAATATTACTTCTACAGTACTTATAAAATTTTTTAAAATAACGTGCAAATGTTCAACTCTGATTAGTAGTTCAAAAGAAGAATACAATTTCACTTTTAATTATGAAAATTGAAAAAATAGAATATATTAAGCCCCATGTTTGGTTTGGATTAAAATCCAATTAAAATTTCAAATCAAAGTCAAAAATTAATTTTAACCACACATTTAATAAGATCTACAACTTTTTAACCTCACATTTTATCAATTTTTTTTAAAATTTACTAAAAAATTGATTTTAATATCTGTCAAATATGGGCTAAAATTATCTTCGTCGCTACATTTTCACTTCTTCCTAATGGAGAATAGAAGGCCAATGAGTAATGCAACAAGAGGCAAGAGCTAATATAATCCCACAAGTTGAACCTTATATTTTATAGCATGACTGGTGGGAGATCGAGCGTTGCGTGATGACTGTTATAATTTTAGAAGTAGTTTTGTTAATAATGTCCTAAGGTATTGGAATGTTTTTTAGCGACTTTAAATGATAACATAATAATTGAAATGTGATATTACAACTCTATTGAGATTTGTCCAAATTGTATGATAGATATTTGATACATAAAATTAGATAACATAATTTATATTTGTTTCCGTGTATTATAAGCTCTAGTTTTAGTAAAATCCAACTAATCGTATATGTAGTTAAATTAATATTTAATTTTGCTTCAAAGCATAAAGAATTTATGAGATTTCACAAACATGTTCACGTGCATACAAATAACGTGAATTGGAATAGAAAAATAAATAAAATAGACAAAAAGATGTGTGTGCCTATGTTGCTAAATTTATTTTAGAATAATTATGTCCGAAACGACAAATTTTTCAGCAGATTGCTTGAAAGTTTATCTTTGGAATTATATTTATAGTAACTTTTTTCTTCGTATCATTCATAGCTACAACCTAGAAG